TAATATGCAGTTTCTGTGGGGAAGGAATGTCTCTTTCATAGATACCCATTGTAACAGAGCATTATTCCTTCTCAGCATCTGTCACACGTATCATTACATCAGTCTGAAAGTAATTTTAAATGGATACTGATAGTGATGGTTACAGTATCAAGAGCCGAAAGGTAAAGTGGGTTTGAAATTAGCTGTCGTCACATAGATGTCCCTTTGAGGTTTTTCTAGGCGGAGTTTTTTTTATTTAACCAGATTATGAGATTTTGAAAATCACCTGCTGCAAATGTGTAGTAGATTTTTCATGTCTGTTTTTAATAAAATTGTAATGTACTCAGTTAATGAAAAACACATTCATAATACATGTGAAGGCTTTGTTCTCTCTTACTGTTTCCCACACCTTACCCTAAGAGAAGGGAGGTGAGGAAGGTATAGAAAATAGGTCCATGGAGAGGTAAGACTGAATTTTTCACCTCTTTTCCTGAAGCAGTACACAGCTGCCTTATTTTTTCTTTAAGGACTATACTGAAAAGTCAGATCTTTCGTGGTTAAATTGTCATTTAATGTTTTAGAAAGCTCAAAAGTAAGGTCAGTCTGATCATGTTCCTAAGCCCATTTTGACACAGTTCCTCTCTTTAAAACATTTAAAAACGCTTTTCCTGTCAAAATCATCAAATGTAACACACATACAAGGTGAAATGCTGCTTCTGAAAGTCAGTAAAGTTCACCCAAAGGGTTTAACTTAGGTGCCTCTTAATGGATGAAAGCATGAAAAGAGACAAAGGTTTTAATCTGTCTCTTTCTGACTTCATGTTTTCCTGTTTTTGTGAGTGTACCCAGGGGAGTTAATGTTTTTGCAATTATACCTAACAGTTGGAGGTGCACTTGACTGAAATGACCCAAATCTTATATAAGTAATTCTCATAATTATCCTGCACTTTGAAAATAAGGTCTCAACTATAATTATTTATGGGAGGGATATTGCAAGAAATGTTCCGTGTTAGAATAAGGCAGATCCTTAGCATGGTCTTAATATCCATGCTGAGCACTATGTCTTCTAATACATTAATGTAGGTATGCCTGTTAATATGGATGAAGGAGATAAATGCTTGACATAAGACAGACAAGGTAAGTACACTTTTTGCAGTAATCAAGCATTTGCTTTCAGCCAGTCTTTCATCTAGGAGGAGCCCACTTCAGCAGTATAGTGACAGTGTTATTTAGGTCCCTCTATAGTTTTGAGGATGCCCCTGACTCTACAGACTCCAAAAGGATCAGCTGATATGCTGCATCTATTAAAACAATTTAAGTAGCTCTAAGTAAGTCTTTGTGCCAATTATGTTAATGAAGCTGCAAAGGGACTGCAAATTTAGAAGTCCTCTAAAGTCCAGTGCTGGCCCAGCATTTCAAAAGCTCCTTAACAAGACATGAAATCAGGCCCTTTAATCTCTCTAATTGGTGCTTTTGAGTATAGAAGAATACATGAACCCTGCTGTGTTCTAAAAGCAGCAGAACATCTTCACTAGCCAATAATACCTCGTGAAAATAGACTTCTCAGATTGCAGGTCCCCTGTACTAAATAACGATGTGGAGAAGTCTTGTTTCATTGCTACTTGTCAGTGCAGTTTTGCCGTTGGACACTTATCCTGCTGAGAGAGTGGGGGTTTCGGTACTGTGATTCCTCCTGGAGCCATCAAGCCCCACAGGATGGGACTTTCACAGACTAGTGACCGGTTATTTAAATGTGGGTATTAAAACTTAGAAATCCTAGAAGTTGACTTAAAGATATTTAAACTTATAATAGCAACTTTCTTTCACAAAAGTACGTCTCTAATGGATGCTAGTTCTGTCAAAACCATAAAGACCAGTAAATCCGTATGGTTTTGCCAAAATGCATGGGGCTTTTTGGTAGCTAAGGAGTTACTGTTCATTTAGCATTTCGTTTAAAGGTTGCTACTTTCTAGCTACAGCTTTTATCCCACCCTCACTTTCAGCTGCTATACACATTCTCTCCAGAGTGTGACTTCTGTAGCGGTAATGTGTGTATACATTAGGATGACTCAGGCATACATCATCGCCCATCTCTTTGGCCTTCTATGGAAAAGGGAGTGAGACAAACACACAGCTCAGTGAGTTCCAGCCTTATCTTGTCTCTGATTACACCTGCTCTAAGCTTTTGGCTGAAGTTCAGAAGAACTCGTCTACTTCATTTTTTTTTTTCAGATAATTTACATTCTTTTGCAATTTTTTTATTACCCATGGCTCTTAGTTTTCTGGAACACGTTTACGGGGTATCATCCTTATGATCTGTATAAGAATTCCAGGACAGTATGATGGGACAGCTGACTTGTGTTTCAAATAAATAATTATGCAGCATCATTTAATTTTTCCTTAACATTCATCCTCACTACTGGAGGAATCAAAAAGGCCACCCACAGAGAGAAGAGAGTGCCAAGCTAATGAATCCACTAGAGAGGCCTCTGCAGTTCTGTGTCTGTCCCATGCTAAGCAGAATCCCGATCATGGAGTGTCCAAGGAGATTTGCCACATACGGTATGTCATTTTTGTATGTTGATTTTGCATATTGCTCCCCTTGGTAATAAAAATTTCCCCGTAGTCCTGCTTTTTTCTACTATTTCATCAAAGCCTTGATTTCAGTCATCTCTAGCTGGCTAAGGGGAACATGCTTTTTCTGTGACTCATTTTTGGTGGTGTTTTTATTTTGTTTAGGGGAAGCAAAAAGGTCTGTATTTAGTAAGGATATTTTCAGATGCATTAATTTCTTGGTGTAAATGAGTTTTTATTGTAATAACTGATATCTGCCACTCTAAATTCTAGGATACAAGTTTAAATTTGTCAAAATATGCAGAAGAATGAAAATCAGCACAAGACTATACTTCAGATACAAATGTTGCAACCGTATTAGCTTTTCACTTGAATGATTAACTTGCATGTGATCACACCTATGTATGTGCACATAAAAAAAACACCCACTATTTCACCCTCAAGATGATTCCTCATTCCTAACTAATACAGTCAAAACTGATCTTATATCTAAGAAACAGTTTTAGGGAATGGGGCAGATTTAAATGTTTAGTCTATGTAGAAGTCTCAATATTTTTAGACAAATTCCATTGATTTTCTTCAGGCTTATATTTTCTGAGATTTTTGTTGTTTTAGCAGTAATTTTGTTGATGTTATTTTTAGTTGTGTTTTCTACTAAAAAAAATCCAAGGAAAATTATTTATGTCTCTTTACTAATCTCTTCGGTTTTTAATATAATTTATCATGGTTACAACCAAATACTGGGAGGAGGAGGAAGAAGAGAGAGAGATCTTGCCGAAATAATCTTAAAATGTTCACAATGGCCCATTGGCTAATGCTTTTTAACAAAGTTATCAAACACTGTGGTATCTGAGTGCCTTGCGTGAAGGCTAATTACTTTGCTGGGAACATTCATTTTAAGGGGTCTTTTCTACATTTCTGCATTTTATGAGAATACTTTGGAGGAGTGAAGCATGATGCATAAAGGGGAGACTTCAGTCTCTTGAAGTATTCTTGCAGAAGAAATACTATGTATAGCTTTTCTCGTGTGTCTATACTAAATAATTGTTTCTGTGTAGGTATAGAAGAAGAGTCACATGTGGCTATCCCACTTACCCACAATCCCATTCCTTTGGACAATGAGTTGTAGTGCAGCAGATATTTTGTTCTAGAACTCTTCTCAATAGTTTCTTAAATATTTTAACATCAACCTACCTTTCCTGTAAATTACTCCAAACACCCGTCTCTGTCAGATAATTCAGAAATTATTTTGAAAACTGTATTTTGATTATCCTTCCCTTTCACTCTGACAAGCAGTTTAGTTTAAAGTAATTATCACAGGAAGAATTTTACAGACTGTTTAAGGAAAATCGTATGTATAAATTCATATCAAGAAAACTTCACAAAATACTTTTTTGTAAAGTGCTTTTTTATTATGCGTTGTCAACAGTTAAATGATATGTTGCTGTTTCATGCAAGCTGGAGTAGTGTTAGGAGAGCAAATGTTAATCCATAAACATGTTAAGGAAAAAAGTGCAAATCTGCATAGGTTTCTACAGGTTTAAATATGAAACTGGAGAGCTGCTTCAGTTAAAAAGACTTTTAATTAGTTAGTGAAACAACCACTAGTCTAGTTGTTCCCAAGCCTTGCTCCAGTTCTACCTAGGATGTTTGGTTTTATCCTGTGTTAAAATTTACACAGTTCTCTTTTTTTTTGTCATGCATTATAATGTCATAGTAGCAGCTCTAGGAATATAGAAAAACAGTACTATTCACCAAAGAGTTGTGGTTACTATTCAGTAAGTCCATCTTAAACTAAGTACTGCATGATATTGGAAAAAAAAACAACCGACAAAAATCCTCAAAGAAAACCCAAATCTCCTAGTATGAGCTAGCCCAACAAATGTACGTAATAGGTCATGGAGCAACAGCTCAGTTACGATAATAAAAATACATAAGAAAAAACCTATGCAAATATTTTTTCTTGTTTTGTGCACACCAGGTGCTTCACATCTTAATTTGTTACAAATGATAAACAGTAAAATTGAATTATTATGTTTCTGTCCGACAGTCCTGTAGTGAAATATTTCTTTCAAAGTTCAGGAACACAGAGAGACAAGTTGTTTTAATTACAGACTGAAAAAATCTATTTTATGCATCTTCATTTCCTTAAATATAAACTAAGTAAATACAGTCTGTGTAATTGACAGTATATAATAGAAATTTTCATATGTAATCTCTGCATATTAAATTCTTCAAGGACTATAAAATAACTGGACTGAAGGAATACGTATTTACGACATGCTGTATAACGAGTGACAGACGTAGCTGATCACTTAGCTGTTTTATTCATTTTCATCATAGAATCTATTTCTTTTAATTTTTTCTTCTACAGTGAGCTGTTTGAACTTGACTTTCTCGCCTTGGAACGATGGAACAGCTGTATATCTTCAGCTCAGTAAATCTACGCTTCTGTTTATGTCATTCTTTGACACTTCAATTATTTCACTTGCTTGACAGGCATTAATTCCATTCAGTTCTGTATCATAATTCCCATGTTCTTTTGAATACGGGCTGCAGGACCGTTTGGTTGTGTTTACAGAGTCTATTAGACCACAGTCTAAAACCAGGTTGTCTTTTTCAGGAAAAGATGTTTTCACCGTGTCAGATAAAATAGTATTTAAATTTTTGTCATATTTTGATTCCTCTCCAATGCTTACTAACTCGGTATCAACAGGGAATGTTGTGTTAGTTGCCTCCTTTAAAACTTATGTGCTATTAGTACAAGACTTCTGACAAGTGGCATCTTTATTAAATTGAGCAAGATTATTAGAAGTAACAGCATCTTCATCTTTTGAGTTCTGTTCATCCCATGAAACAGTTACAGTATAGTTTGTATGAATCTCATGAATAGTTTTCATGAGATTCATACATCGCCAATATTTCTTTATTTCCAGACCGATTTTCCAGCTTTGCGAAGGCATGCTGCAATACAGTGCAAATTGCATGGCTTAATGCTGCCATTGGCTTAGACGTAGCTGCGCGAGTTGGTTCCTGCCTACATATGTTTAGATGTGAAAAAGTGGCGCTATTGTTATTGTTATTGTTGTTCAAGCTGAATTCTTTGTCATTCTTTTGTACTGTTACATCATCAATGTTAGTAACCTGTACAACTTCTGAATCATCAGTTGCATTATTTTTTTTTTCTCGCTCCTTCCCAGCAATATGCGCAATCACATTATCACCTTCATTAATATCCTTTCCGCTTTCCTCCCTATTCTGTGGTCCTCCTGTTTTACTTAGCTTATCTTGCACGTTCGTAGCATCCTCATCTTTTCCCTTACTGCCTGCTTCATTTTTCTCTGCTTTACAAATATTTGTAGCTTCTTTTTCAGACAGAGAGCTAAAGGATGAGTGTTGATTTTGTTGATCGTTTGCAGTGTCACTTTTATTTTGCTCTCTCACTGCACTTTTTTTCTGAGGATCCTTTTTATTGCCCAGAGGTTTTTTTGTACGTAAACTGGAACCTTCTTGAGCAAAACCTTCTGGGGGCCACTTTGGCTTATTTACTTTAGCCACTTCTTCAATACAAAATGTTTTCTTAGGTGTTGCATCATCTGTTGAAGGGGGCCATGTCATCTTTAATTTACCTCTTTCTGTGGATTTTTTCAAATTATTATCCAAAATATCTGGATGAATACCTTCAGTATCCGAGTACAAGTCTTGATCAATTTCTGTAATTGGTTTAGGATCAACAGGTATACTGTTAATGGGATTTGTTTCTTCAGCATGAGTATTGCCAACTGAACTACATTGATCCTTAGAATTCCATAATTCTTTATGTTGCTTGTGTCCAAAACCTTCATCATAATTTCCTTTTGATTTGAAAAGTTGCTTAAAATGGGGTTTACAATATATTTTTCCATGGAGAGATGCATAATTTCCCAAGCTGCCAAATGGAAGAAAATTTGTTTTATATTTTTACATATCATAGATCTACTTTGAATTTTACACTTTACTTGGTATTTCAAGTACCCCTACATGATTGTAAATATAAAGAAAGGAGGAGCAAAAAATCAGCCAATTCAATGTATTGGCCAATTCTGACCACACACACACAGACACAAAAAGCATCTAAAACCTTTAATTGCAAATTCCCATACAATTTCAAAGTTGAAATGAAGGACAAGTGTCATGTTTTGTGATTTAAGAAAGAACATAAACTTATTCATTTGTTGCACTGTGTAAGCTTCAAATAGGAATGTTCCACAGCACTTCAGGGTCATTGGGACCTTTTTGTTCATCATATTAAAGACTGAAGCCTTTATCTTTCTACAAAATAGGTGGAGAAAATACAGTGTGAATTGTCTTTAGCCTTTGTAGCTTAATTATAGAAATTTGTGTTTAATTGTATTTGGATTTTGCTTCTGAATGAAGTAAAGGAAATGTGTGTAAATAACCTCAAAGGTGTTAAAATCAGAACTGTTAGCCTTTGCAGTCTGATAGAGCAATAAATACTGCATTTGAAATGTTTACAGATATGAAGTTACAAGAGTGGTTTGCTAGTGCGGAGAACCATCGTCATTCATTTTATGGATAAGGAAAAGTAAGAGAAAATTTGATCTGTGTTCAGATGTCTAAAATTCCACCCAAGTTTCTGTGTCTGCTGCTTCCTGTTCATGAGCTCTACTGAAGGTCTGGAAGAGTCAGTAGGAAGTAGTATGTAGAAGAATGTGGTAGGTGCTGGGATAAAGCAGATCTTTAGAGAATTTAAAGGACTTGTTCCATGTCACAGTGCAGATGTCAGTAGCAGAGAAGAAAAGGGGAACCCAGGTTACTTCCCTGTCAACCCAACATCCTACGGGCTGAATAGCTCAGTTGAAAATAATTTCACCAGCTGTATTTATTTTCAGATGGGGAGTTCTATGAGTGAGCATGCAGTTACTTCTTACCTTAATTGACTGCCACAGTGGTGACACCGGAAACATGATTTATGAAAATTCTGCTTGTCAGCAACTAGGCATTCCATTGGGTAAACTCTCTGTTGACAGAGTCTGCACGTTTCATTTTCCTGAATCTGCAGTTTCTAGAAGCACATATTAAAAAGTTACGAGTTAGTTTAAGCCACATATTATGATTTATCTCCAACTGTATCAGTCCATATGTTTTGTTAAAATTGTAGTATTCTTTATCCATTAACTGGTATCTCAGCTGCCAATTTTAGGGCTTCATTTTTGTTCAACTAACAGTAGTATTTTGAAAGCAAAAAACTACTCATCTTTCCCTCTTCAGAAATCCATACAATTGAAAGGACTATTCACATCATACAATACAATACACCAGGTACAGTATTTCCGATTTATTCGTAATAACTATTTCTTTTGTAAAATGAGATAGCATGATAAAAGATTTGCTAATATAAGTGGAATTGAGTATAATGTGTGTATAGTCTTTGAATCTACGATGTGATTTAGAGATCAATAAACAGGGGGCAGATGTTTGAAATTCTGATAAGGAAGTTTTGCTTAATCATGCCAGAAGCACATCAAGGAGTTCCACTTCTGTGGTAACCTACAGACTGTGCACTCATAGAGTCCAGATACACTAGGGACATAATCATTTGTAATTTTTACAATTTTAATTTTCAGACCCGATACTTCCTTCAGTTAATTTTTAAGACTGAGTTAGCTACAGTTGTATTAGCTAACTATAGCAAATTCTTTCTTTTATGAAGTATAATTAATTATAAAGGAAACTAATTCTCTGTAAAGCACAAAGCATTAATAGAAGGTTTATTTCATACCAGTAAGGGGCAGAAGGAAATAATGGGCATTCTGTTGGGCTTGGAAAAATGCATGCTGCTCTTCTGTCTTTATTTCTGAATTGCTATGAAAACTGTACTAGCAGACAAATACAAATAGGGTGGAAAAATAATTGTTTGTAAATCTCAATTGACAGTAGTAATGCCCTTTGACATCAGCAGAAAATTTGGCCCCTTTCAGCATTCCCTCTGTTTTTAGTTTGTCTCATTTTATAGCAATTCACAGATCAAGACCGAAAGTGATGTAGATTTTATAATGGCAGCTTTAGTTGCCACATATCTCTAGTGCCCATAACGAGAGCTATGAAAAATGCTGAAAGAGGGATTAAATATATTCAAAATAATGTAGAACTTGCAAAAAGAATAAATCACTAGTAAAAACAAAACAGAAAAAATCCCCCAGAGAATTGTTGGTCATGAAACAACCTCAAATGTGGCCTCAACTTAGTGTCCACGCGGGCTGACGAAGAGGCCGGGCAGGCACAGTGTGCCATGTTCCTGACATGGCTCCTGCCTCGCTGGGCAGGGACTACTGGTGGCTGGTGGCGGGAGCCAGACCTAATTACTTGCCTTAACATTCTTAGGTTCGCAAGTATTCTGAAGGTAAAGAGGGAGGAGAGGAAAGGCACAAGCTCTGCGATGCGGAAAAGGATAAGGTAATTGGTGATGTGCCTCCTGGAGAGCTGTCTCGCTGGATGGTGATAGAATCATAGAATCGTAGTATGGTAAGGTTTGGAAGGGACCTTACAGATCATCTAGTTCCAGCTCCCCTGCCATGAGCAGGGACATCTTCCACTAGACCAGGTTGCTCAGAGCTCCATCCAACGTGGCCTTGAACACTGCCAGGGAGGAGGCATCCACAGCTTCTCTGGGCAACCTGTTCCAGTGTCTCACCACCCTCATGGTGAAGAATTTCTTAGTTTACAGTCATGGCCCCTTGTCCTGTCACTACACACCCTTGTGAAAAGTCCCTCTCCATCCTTCCTGTAGGCCCCCTTCAGGTACTGGAAGGCTGCTCTAAGGTCACTCCGGAGCCTTCTCTTCTCCAGGCTGAACAGCCCCAACTCCCTCAGCCTGTCCTCGTAGGATGGGTACTCCAGTTATACTTCATTTAGCTGGGTAGTTGACTGTGTTGTGCGTCAGAAGGCAGCAGCCAAGAGAAGATAAAAACAAAGAGAAAGCAGGAATTTAAGGGAAGTTTATCCCAAAGCAACTCCCAGGACTGAATAGTGGAGCCAGTATTCATCTTCACGAAAATTGATCATGTATTGGTGTTTGTGGCGAGGTTTCAGTAGCCGGGGGGGCTGCAGGGGCAGCCTTTGTGAGGAGAGGCCGGGCTGCCCCATGTGGGATGCGGCCTGTTCCAGCCGGCTGCAGCAGACCCGCCCCGGGGCATGGCTGAGCCCCTCACGCGTTGGTGGGTGCCTCTAGGAACATGCATTCAAGAAGGGTCAAAATGCTGCACATGCCATGAGGGCTGAGGGAAAAAAGGGTGAGAAACGACCCTGCCAACTCCAAGGCCAAAGAAGAAGGAGGGGAAGAGGCACCACTGCAGAGATTGCTCCGTAGCCTGTCGAGGAGATCAGGGGAGCCGGTATTTCCTCACAGCCTGTGGAGAGGACCACGCTAGAGCAGATGGACGTTCCCAGAAGGAACTACGGCCTGTGGAGAGCCCACGCTGGAGCAGGCAAAAGTGTGAGGACGAAGGAGCGGCAGAGAGGAGCTGGTATGGACTGACCCCAGCCCCCATTCCCCATCCTCTCTGTGCTGCTGGCGGTGGGTAGAAGAGGTAGCAGAGTCAGGAGTGAAGGAGTAAAGTTGAGACTGGGAAAAAAAGGGCAGAAGGACAGACGTTTTAGCATTTGTCTTTGTTTCTCACCGTCTAAATCTATTTTAATTGATAATAAATTAAACTAGTTTTCCCCGAGTCAAGTCTGTCTTGCCTGTGAAAGTAATTGGCAAGTTATCTCCCTGTCTTTATGTTGTCACTTGAGCTTTTTCATCCTATATTCTCTCCCTGTCTTGTTGAGGAGGGGGAATGAGAGTGGCTGGGTAGGGATCTGGCAGGTCAACCCACCACACGTGAACGGTCCTACAAAATCAGTGGGGGAAGGGCTGGCCTGCTATTTGAGATCATCAATGTTTGCGAGATAGAAGAGACACAAAACGGAATCCAGAGGCTTGACCATATAAAGAATTCACTGTTTTCCTGGTGCTGGGTATTTCTACTCACTTTTAACATGCTTAAGTATACTAAGTCTGTCTGGGATGCAGTTAATTTTCTTCACAGCAGCTCACACGGTGGTATGTTTTGGATTTGTGGCTAAAGTGTTGGTAAGACACCAGTGCTTTAGCTATTGCTGAACAGCACTTGCACAGTGTCAGAGCCTTTTCTTCCCCCCACTCTGACCATGCTCCCTGCCCCAAGCAGGTAGGCTGGGGATGTGCAAGAAGCTGAGAGCACATAACCAAGGCAGCTGACCCCAACTGACCAGAGGGATATTCCATACCATATGGCATCGTGCTCAGCAATAAAAGCTGAGGGAAGCAGGATGAAGAGGGGACATTCAGAGCTATGGTGTTTGTCTTCCCAGGTCACTGCTGTGCATGTTGAGGCATTGCTTTCCAGGAAGTGGCTGAACACCTCCCTGCTGATGGGAAGCAGTGAATCAATTCCTTGTTTTGCTTTGCTTGTGCCCCATCTTTTCTTCACCTGTTAAGGTGTCTCTACCTCTGTCCGCAGGTTTTCTTCCTTTTTGCTCTTCTGATTCTTTCTTTCGTCCCACTGGGGGGGAGTGAGCATGCGAGCGAGCGACTGGGTATGGACTTAGCTGCCAGCGAGGGGCAACCCACCACGTTAGGTATTTTGTTGGACCACTGCCAGGCTGTGCCTCATTTTACAGGATCGCAACATACTCATGCTTAGTTCTGCTTGTAGCATGAACAGAGGTAACAACCTTCTCTTCTTAGTGCGCAGACTTAGGAAACCCAAAGCAGAGCTTTCTGTTTAGAAGTTATGCAGGTACAGGAGGCTTTAGCTTTGTTCTGCCATTTCCATTGCTGTTCAAGCACCAGCATTCTGTTCATGTATTTCAAATGTCTAAAGCTATGGTAACATCTGCTTTTCCTACAGGATACCATCCATATTCAGTGCCCAAAATAGATGCACAAAAGAACATCGATGTTCATCATGCAATGGCATATGTAATATTTTCTAAGTTTCAAATGCATAACTTTGCAATCTAAATACTATTTTAATACAATTTTTAACTCACACATACACTGTGAGAAAAAAGGCATGTTTAATTTTCAATGTTTACTTCATATTCATATATAAATATTTATGTATATATTCACATACTTCATGTATTTTAAAAGTTTATTTCAATATAAAACAAATAAGAGGCTCAGATTTTGAGGGACACTGAGTGACTCCACTCTTTAGTGATGTGAAGCCTGGATCCTGACATCGGGTAAGTGGGATTGCTGCCTTAATTCAGAATAGGGCTGTATCAACTGGTAAAATCGACCAGCAGGAAACAGCGGAAAAAAAATTTAAATTGTGTGTTAATTTGTAACCTGTTTCAGCAATTTTACTCAAACAGGAAACCCACCAAAATGTAGTTCACTTTGTCTTAAGTCACATCTTGTGCTTTAACAAACTAAAACCAGATGTGCACAAAATACGACCATTATTTTATCTCTAGAGCTATTTTACAGGCAACATTTTACCTCAGTTAAGAGGATGTTGCATTAATTTTAAGCATGAGAAGTCAGATGCATCCTGTGCTCATTTTCTAGCATGTTAATATTTCTCAAATACAACAGTAATGCTATTTTAATTTAAATATCTATATTTTAGTATCTATGTTTATTTTGCTTTATATAATTTTTCAGGATAGCTCTCGTAGCGGTAATCCTCATAATGGTGGAAGAGATAGTAGCTAGAGGCTTTCACAATGGTTCCCGTGTCTTCAGCTTCTCAGCCTTCTGGTCTTCATGGAGATCTATTTGAATTCCTATGTCATATTTTTGTACTACTTGCTTATCATTGCCATCAAATTTGGAATCAGAAAGTGTGCTTTTCTGTGTCCTCTGAATCCTCTGTGTGCCAAGGCTGTGTATCAACTAACTGTTTTGCCTTGTGCACACCACCGCTCATGTTTTCCTCCAATGAGATTCTACATACCACTTTAATTTCCAGCAGGTCTTTGTTGGTTCAAACGTCCAGTGTGCTATTCTGACATACGTGTTTTCAGCATCTTCTCTATGGACAGCTTCATTCTCTAGTCTTTGACCAAAATTGTCTCTGGTAACGGACAATGGCTGAGGTTCAAAATGATTTATGTTTCTCTCCATGCTTCCTTTAAGCTCTTTCAGCTCAGACCTCAGCTTCAACAAGTTAAAGGCATCCACTGGGTACAGCTGCCCCAGTTTATCTAGGTTCTGTGCTTCCAGCAAGTGCCTGAGAGTCTTTACAGCACCACCAGAAACTTCTCAGATGCAAGTTTCAGCTGATGTTTCTTCCTCATTGTGATATTTTTTATTTGTAGAGTCCAGCGGCTGCATTTCAAACATCCACGTGACTGTGCAAACACATCCTCTAACTAGTGCAAGAGCTTTGTCCACAGTTCCTGCAGAGCCTGGAGCATGTGCACAAGGTGCATCAACACGCTGGGTCTTAAACCTCCAGGCTATGTATTCAACATCTCCGTCTGCAATTCTTCTAGCTTTGTCTGGGTCTGGAGGATCAGCTTTAGCTGGAACGAAAGGCTGGTTCTCAAAGACCCATTTTATAGAGAGGACCCCTCCTCTCCGTATTTCATGCAATTCTAAGCATCATTTTTCAGGTCATGAGAACATCTGAATGGTGAAGGCAAAGCCATATCTAGCCTGCTGCTCATCTGACATCATATCCCATGTTTCAGATTCACGAGATAAAATGTTAGAAGTCTTATTCATGTAGTGTTTCTCTAAATGTTTTTGTAATTGTGGGTGGAATCATTTGTGTAGATGTCTTGGTTCACATAGATTGCTTTGGCTACAGAACTGTGGAGCCAGTGGGCTTTATTGGAGATCTGGTCGATTCAGTGGACTGGCAAGTTGCTGTCATTTCCAGTGGAGCTTTTGCATGAGTGGGAAACATTTCTGTGCTTCTATATTCATAGGATCTGGAGCAAATCATTGCAGAAGTAGCAGTTCTGTCCTGCTTTTTTGTTGGTGTAGAGGTCTCCTGCAATCTGCTTGCTGAAGTAGTAGCAGTAGAAGATGAACTAACTGTTGAAGGCAAGGTAATTTCCTGGTATGTATTTTCCGTCTTTAGGGAACAAAAGTGGTTGTTTCTTTTTAAAGTATAGTAACATAGAAAACAATTTTTCTGTTCTTCACAAAAGCTAGTTCTACAAGGATCCAAGCAATAGGATTATAATAAGATCTGGAAAGACAATCCACCAGCTATTGCTCAATGCATAAAACCAATATTTTGAACTAAGAGCTCTGCTATTTGCACCATAGAATATGTGTGAAAAGAAATGTGGAATTCATACAAAATGCAAAATTATGGTTGAACAGTTTTGGAGTTTTTGCTGCAATAAATGCAGCCTTTGCATTATAAGCATAATGCAAAGTTATGTTGTGGCTTATCCTCATTTTAATTTCTTCTGAAAGTGACATTTTCTATGCTTCTGAGAATCTGTGGTGACAGAAATTACATGTATTTGCAGATTGAAAACAAGGAAAGAGGAGACTGTATTCAGCAGAGGAGGACAGGAATGCTATAGTTTTTATAAAGATCTACTTTTAATTGTGTTTGTCACATACTGTAAGTACTTGTTGAGCTTTCTAACGTACTTTATATTACATTATGTGCATTTAATTCCTAAAGTCCATATATTCCCACCACTTTCATAGGTTATATTTTTAATCACAATTAGTCAAAATCACATTTTAATTACAATTTGATAGAAAGTCAAGACAGAAATTCAGACTGCATTACAGACCTATGTCTTCACCACTTCTAATTTGCATAAAGAAAGATCCCTCTTATTAAAAGAACAAACCTTGACTTCTTTTGCAGGTGTTGCAGTCTCTCTGTCAGAGTGAACGGCCTTTTCCTGAGCTGTCCTTTCAATGTGCTGTTTTAAAATCTGTGTTACAGTCTTTGGGAGCTCTTCATTCTGAGCTGCATTGGTTACTGCAATGGGAAGAAGAACAAAAAGATCATTTTTCCTCCACTCTGCATTTTAAGAAATTGACTTTATCAGTGAATTATAATACATTATTACATTAGAAAAATTGTACTTAGCCTTGCAGCAGTCTAGAGAGTCACGTGATCATGAACGGAAATCCATAGAATGACAGAATAGTTGTTGAGGGACATTATCACCCACTGTTTTGCCATACCTGAGTGGTGTGGCAGGGCTAAAGCTTGACTGGGGTCTGTGGATATAATGCGTGAACTCTAATACCAGGACTAAGCTGCAGCAGCAGCAGTGTCTTAACACTGTGGTCATATTCTGCACAGCTATCCAGTTCAGCTATTCATCAAATCTTTCTCATACACAATTTTGTGTATACATGGGCTCATGTTTGCCTGTGTTTTCAGATAATACTTCAAGTCCCCAGTTCTTTTAAGCAACTAAGTATATATTTAAAACCACCTCCTTATGCAAAAGCCATCTCTCCATACTGAATTCTAAGCTCACTTCCTAAGTCACATTGAAGTCAATGAATGTGCTTTACTAAGAATTTGGAGCAATTTTCATTTTCATGTTTGTATGCTAAGAGCTGTACATTTGTCTGAGTAAAGACATTTGCCATTGCTCATTTGTGAGCTTTTATTCTAATGCCACTTCTTACCTGTTTCGTCACTGTGTTGAACAAATGTAGAAGCCATTTTTATCTCATCAGTAACTTGCTCACGATGAGAAACCTGTGCAGAAAACCTTCACTTTACTACAGGATTTAGTGCAATATGTAAGAATTTTCCATACTTCTGTTACTGTGTTAAAAATGTTGCATAAAAGAAAAATATGAATGGAAACTTAATTAATTACCATGTTAAAACAATAATAAATGAAAAAACTTATTAAAAGACCTTTAAAAAAGTTATTAATCACTGCCTAATGGGGGAGGCTATCAGCAGAACATCCAGATCTTGCTGTACCAAGTGGTAAAAGAGGAAGAAGCAAAGCAGATATGTATCAGCATCAGTATAATTGTCCAATGACATAATTATTAATTGATATAGTTACCTCTTGTGTCTCAGAGGCTTTGATTTGACTTTCTTTGGAAGTCATTTCATTGCACTCAGCTTCCCTGGTGCTGCTTGATAGTGTGGGGTGACTGCTACCTGACGTTTCCTTAAAGACAAATAAAAATAATCGCACGTTAACAGCTAATAGTAAATTGGATTTTTCTTTTTTTGATTCCCTATGAGGGGCTTTCACAAATAAATTCTAATGTAAGTGGTGTAACTAGAACAGTCATTTTACAGCAGAGTACTGTTGTTATTATGATTGATATTTGTTGCCATAAAAATTGGAACAGGCTTTTTTATAACACAGAAGATGTCTAGTCATTTCTGTTACTGCAGACAGATTTTGACCAGCAGATACAGAAAGCTGCATGAATATGTACAATGTGTAATTAGACTGGAAGGGGCGAAGGTGACTAGGAAGACTGGTTCTGGCTTTGTGTGCTGTGCCATCAACTTGTGACCTATCAGCGGGCATGAGGCTAACGCAGCTTTGTAAAAGGAAGTATAATAATATGTCTGTGTAAGAGATGCTGACTTCCTGCATATGCTTTATACAGCTCTTCTGACCAAAAAACCACGCTGTATTGCAGTTGTGAAAAATATGACCAATAGGCTAACCAGAAGATCCTATAAAACATACAGGCTAGCATTGTGTCTACAAGTCTGACAACAGCAGTGTAATAAACAGAGCGTATCGCTGAGACTTTAAAGCACTGTCTTGATATGTTCATGTAAGCTGATTTCTGAGGTTATCTATGTTTAGTTCATCCCCAAATTCTGGCAGTGATTTGTTTTCTTATTTAAAGCCCGTCACAGAACCTGTGTTACATCACATTACCTGTGTCCAAGGAGTACTTTGAGATTTAGTGACTAGAAGAAAGAACTCCTAAGGATTGATATTATTAAGATATCACAGAATCACAGAATCACAGAATCACAGAATAGTAGGGGTTGGAAGGGACCTCTGTGGGTCATCTAGTCCTACCCTCCTGCCGAAGCAGGGTCACCTACAGTAGGCTGCACAGGATCTTGTCCAGGCGGGTCTTGAATATCTCCAGAGAAGGAGACTCCACAACCTCCCTGGGCAGCCTGTTCCAGTGCTCCGTCACCCTCAGAGGGAAGAAGTTCCTCCTCATGTTCAGACGGAACTTCCTGTGCCTCAGTTTGTGCCCATTGCCCCTTGTCCTGTCACTGGGCACCACTGAAAAGAGCTTGGCCCCATCCTCCTGACACCCACCCTTCAGATATTTGTAGGCATTTATAAGGTCCCCTCGCAGCCTTCTCTTCTTCAGGCTGAACAAGCCCAGTTCCCTCAACCTCTCCTCGTAGTGGAGATGCTCCAGTCCCCTCACCATCCTTGTAGCCCTCCGCTGGACTCTCTCCAGTAGCTCTTCATCCTTCTTGAACTGGGGAGCCCAGAACTGGACATAGTACTCCAGATGAGGCCTCACCAGGGTAGTGTAGAGGGGAAGGAGAACCTCCCTTGTCCTGCTGGCCACACTCTTCTTGATGCGTCCCAGGATCCCATTGGCTTTCTTGGCAGCCAGGGCACACTGCTGGCTCATGGTTAACCTGTCGTCCACCAGGACACCCAGGTCCCTCTCTGCTCTCCAGCAGGTCCACCCCAAGCCTGTACTGGTGCATGAGGTTGTTCCTCCCCAGGTGCAGGACCCTGCACTTGCCCTTGTTGAACCTCATCAGGTTCCTCTCTGCCCAGCTTTCCAGCCTATCCAGGTCACGCTGAATGGCAGCACAGCCTTCTGGTGTATCTACCACACCTCCCCGTTTGGTGTCGTCAGCAAACTTGCTGAGGGTACATTCTAACTCTTCATCCAGGTCGTTGATGAAGAAGTTAAACAAGACTGGGCCCAGTACTGACCCCTGAGGGACACCACTTGTCACCAGCCTCCAACTAGACTCAGCGCCGCTGATGACAACCCTCTGAGTTCTGCCATTCAGCCAGTTCTCTATCCACTTCACCGACCAAAATATCAGTTCTGTGCTTCCTCTCTCTTGCACACTAGCAAGCACACAGAGACATCTAACAAATAATTTCACTCATGTCAAGTTAAATTTTCTTCTTCCTTTGTGAGAAGGAAGCTTGCCTGTTACTTTCTACTGATAATAAGCTTTCAAATGAAAGGAGCTTCTGGTCCCTCCAGCAAAAGCTTTGCAAGTGTTCAGTGTAACGTGGATGTGAATGGAGGCAGGCATGTATTTCTGAGATTGCTGCTATACATCTAATGCAGCAGAGAGCTGTAAGCTTCCTGCATCTCAAATCCTGGCACCTCCTTGAAATCCAGCTAATTGTGGGGCAAGAAATTAGCTCTCTCCTTTAGTCATCGCATGACAAAGCATATACTTATGGGATTTATTGCACGTTCAAACTAAGGAATGTTTACACTGCTTGCATCTTGCTGAATCAGTATAGGGGAGCATCTACTGCCTGGCCTCTAGTTTCTGCCTTACAGCAGCAAGGGCTTGTAGGTGTTGTGGCAGAGAAACAATGTGCATCCCCTTTGTGGGCTTTAGGAATTCTCTTTCATCTCTGTGCTGCCAAATCATCTGTTTCAACTGTAAGATGAATTAAAATCATACAAACAAAGGGTAGAATAGATTTTCTGATTGCTGGCCCAGTAAAGGCTTTAGTGCGTTACCAGTATAAAAATTAATTGTATCCACCACAAAGTTTGAACTGTCAAAGTGAGGTGAGGCTTGAGGAGAGCAAGTCAGAGCATGGTTTACACTCACAAGTTCTGTATATGTAACAGTTGTGAGGGAGCTGCACAACAGGAGGAGACGTAGGGCTAACCCCGTACCAAGTGGAAAAGAGGCAAAGAAAATGAAGTGCAAATTTTTCGATCTTCTCCCTTTAATGACTACGTGTAGGTGTATGTATAATATGCCTTTTCATTTTATATAGATACGCTTTTCAATATATTTATGCATATATATGCTTTTTTCATTTCAGATGTGCTTTTCTGTTCTAATGTGCATGTTCTAGATATGTAAGTCAAGCTCTCATTACTGGAAAAGCTCGTTCATGAGACACAAAATATGTTCATGATAGTCATTATGTGTCCTTTGAATGGTGTGGGGTATTAAAAAGGAATATAATTAGGCTTAATGTAGTCAGGAAGCAAATCTAATCTGAATGTCACTACTGCTTTATTGCTGTAAATTTGATACTGCTTATGAAGTAGTAGCCATATTGCAAAAGATTATCATCGTTTAATGCGACAGCTATGACTATCTAAAATGCAGCCTAAACATTATGGGCCAGATTTTGACAATATAATTACACGGCCTTGCTCTGGGCATGCAGGGAGGAAGAGGGACTTGGAGGTTCTCATGTTTTGTATGTCTGTCAAGATGGCTAATTGAAATTCCAGTGACACAGGGTGAAAAGCTGCTTGTTTATTATTCCAAACAAGTGGAGAGCCAGAAGATTTGTGATTTCATCCCTCCTCTGTAATGGCCAACTGTTGGATATAGGATAGGATATCCTGTAGGTAGGACTAATTTAGTCTAGCCAATGAGAGTTTGTGGCACGTTTTGTAGACTCCATAGATTTTGGAGAATATTCTGTAGAATTATTTGGTGGTCTGCATGGGATAAAGTTGCTCTTATCTTATTAAGCAGAGTAAGTCATGTCTCCAGTGCAGGACTGCGGCTGAAGATCACGATCTAGATTTAATACTAGTTAAGAGTTATGCTTGCGGGAAATTGATGCCTTTAGTAGGATACATAATTCCTGCCATACTGTGTGTTATTAAATCAAGCAAAGTTATTTAATCAACCAGAGCCTGCATCGCAGTGTCAGAAGGGAACAGCTCCCCTCCAGCTCTGCAGGGGAGGGGGACAGACAGGGAACTCAAAAGTCATTTTTGGTGGCAGGAGTGAAAAGACAACTATTGTGGTTGCTTTTCCTGTGGCCCAAGAATCACCCTTCAATTACTTTTTCTTTATTCTATGCCATATTGTGAGTGAGCTTCAGAAAACACTGTCAGCTGGATGATTGTTGGCATGCTGCTGGCTCACAATGGTTTATGGTCATTTTATTTTTATTTCAGACTTCCATCACCCTCTATTCTCTTCCATTTATTTCAAGTCGCCCTTTATGGGTGCTGCTGGCCTTCCCATGCTTATCTGTATGGTACTTAATGCAAAGGGCTATAGTGTCCTGTTGTGTCTCTGGATAAGAAGTCATTCTAATCTAAACCAATACTATTTAAAAAATAAAGATGTGAATCTGATAAGAAGTCTGTAGAAGTTTAGTTAGACAAGTACAATTTTATGTAAGCATTCACATCCTGTTACTGAAGAGAACTGTAATTGCTACATACATTTCATATGTTAGTGGCCCGTACATCAATTTTAGTGCCTCTGTGCTGCAATAATTTAGATAGAATTCTTATTGCAAAATGTGTCAAGAATTTAATTTTCAGTAACTGTTCTGTGTATTTTAGACCAAGCTTTGCTTTTTTGTGTTGACATTTTTGCAGTTTCCTTCTGTTCTGACAGCAGACAAAACATACTTTCCCTTTCAAAAATAAAATTGCTCAGAGGCTCAGAATATGTATGTTATGTTATATGCATATGTACATAAAACATGTATACAATTCTATATATGTATGTATGTATTGTTTGAGAGGATCAAATGGCCCAAAAGCTTGTCCAAGCACAAGAAAGCCGTTTACTCACATTTGAAGCATATTGCTTTTAGCTGAACTGTACATTGTGGTCATCACATAAGCTCTGCGGGAAATTGGCTAATATAATATCATTTATGTATTGGCATATTTAGAACTTACTGTGCTAAATGATCAGTATGTACAAACTTGTGATTCCCTTTAGGCAGCAGTGGAAGTAAATTGCGAGGCTAAAGCTTCAGTTACAAAATTAATAACGATAGAGTGACTGACTGATGATTTACTTGCTGTGCATCTTCATTTCTTCCTCAAAGCTATGCTTTTTTACCTATTTATGTTCTTGTCATAGTATCATCTGTGCACCAGTACTGTGAAGGCCTTGCAGAAATTTCTTCTAAGGAGCTTCACTTATCTGCACTTCATCTCTATGATTTGTCAGCCTTGCTTAGTTGTATGTATATACTTAGGGTGTTTTGGGCACTATATGGAACATTTTCATTAAAAGGTAATGTTTTCACCATTCACTAACACTGTCCTGTTATTCAATCTTAGCCTCTGCAATTGCTACAAAATTGGCAATTGCTACACTAGCAATCTTATAAAATGTGTCTGGAATGACTTTCAACGAACAAGGTGTAGCAATGCCTGTGTCATTCCTCGCACACAATACTGTATGGTTGAGTGAATATTAGATACTTTAAATAGATTCCACTCATCATGATGCCAGTGGTCAAACTAAAGACCAGGTCTCTAAACAAACTCTGGTTGAGTTTGTGAGCACGTGGCTATTCTCTGATGAGTTTTCATTGCCGCTCACCATTCTGGGCAAGGGTTTAGTGCATTCTGCTGGTAATATGGCACCTTTCACCAGGAACCAATCTCCCTTACAATGAAGAGAGCTACAGGTGATGACTGCTGCCTGATAAAAACGGAAAGATGAATAGTTATTATTTGCATATTTGATGCCATTATTTTGAATGAAAAGCCATGCACTCCTTATGCAATAATTGCATATGTAGTAAAATGTTCAGCTATTTAGATTACTGTTTGAAAAATGAATTGTTTCCTTATTTTAGCTTGGATTAATAGTTTGAATTTATCCAGATCTGGAGATCTGTCTTAAAACTACATGATTGCTCTGTTTTGCCCCGCGATTGATTCAGTGACCTTGAATAATCTTTCAACTACCTAACTGTATAATCCCATTTTCTGTAAGAGTGCAGTTACGTTAGATAGAAATGGGATTTTATGGTCTTGCAGTAAGTTATTTAACCTAAATTTAAAGATTGTCCCATACAGTCTGAGTAATTTTATTTCCTGTGAATGTGACTATTTCTGCTGACGATTTGAGAGAAGCTCCTCAATTAGCCAGAGGACAAATACGTAGATAAGTGTGCTTAGAGGACACATCTTTTTTGAAGAAGTGGAACCATCTTAGTGGCTTTGTGGAGAGCTAGACATCACTGTTAGGGCCAGGGAAAATGCATCTTCACATCACAGAAATGAAATTATTTGGTTCTGAGTAAGAGAAAAAGTCACATAATTTCTGTACAGAGTTCTGCATTTCTTCATCCAGATAAATGGCAGCTAGGTAGGGCCACATCATCAGAGGAGTATGAGCATAACACTTCCTATTACCAAGGATTATGCTGCCATATTATTATGTCCAACTATGGGGTTTTTCTGCTTAGTTAAAAATGCTTTAATATATCTGCAACAGACTCTGTCTTCTCCCCTACAAACTGGAGTTTTTCTTGTTGTCTGTGCAAATTGTTGGTATTGGCATTAATGTGTAAGAAATGAGAGATGACTGGTAAATATGAGGATACTTATTTAATGTGAAAATGAACCTGTGGCAGAATGTTATGTGTCCTGTTGTACAAAGCTGGAGAACAGTATTGCTTAAAAATCTCTCCAAGAAGTGCAGAATGGTAAAGCTATTTACTGTGTCATTACTGTTTTTCAGAGTGCACAGGACAGATTGTGCAATGTGTTTTATTATATGGATTTCACATAGTCCGAAATCATTATCTCCTACAACAATTTTTTGTGGTATATGCTAATGAAGTAATAAAATGTAAAGACCTTTTATCTAAAATAACACTTAGCTGCTGCTTTGTTCTACTTTTATGTAGCATCTGGGTTCTTCTGTGCAATTTTTGATCGTTTAGAGGAGTTGATTAGATTTAATTCAATGGGAGCAGGAAACTCCTTTTGAAAGAGAATGGCTCAACATCACGTCAAGTGCAATATATACAAAATATCACCATGATACTTGATATTGAATTACAGTCTTATAGACAAGGTTCGGTATGAAATACTGCTGTGGTAGTAATCTGCTTTACTCATCTATTTGCTCTAAGTCTAGTATTGCCTATACTGAGTGTTTGTCTGCATAAAAAAATAATGATTCCTATAGTATATCTCAAAGAGAAAATTCTTTGAGTATGAACATTAGGGAAATGTCTTAGTCGTAATGGAAACTCTTCAGTAAAGCAAACAATCGTATTTTTTCCCCAAGCTATCTAGCAGGACATACCTCATTTGTTAGTATTAAAAATGCTGTTGTTACCTGTGCAGATTTGTGCTGAAGCTGGTGTTGAGCAAAGGTCTTTTGTGAAGAGGCCTTCTGCACTTTCTCAAACTGTTTCCTCACTGCTGCCAGGCCACCAGGCACAGTATAGAACTTGGTTTTCTCTGAAGTCTAGAGTGATAAAGTAAGATCAGTTGTTTTCCATTTGCACTAAGAACGTACTTCTACAAGCTGATTTTTTAAAAAGTAGTTAATGTCAGTATGCTATAATGCTCCTAAATTTCTAATGGAAAGTTTGGAAATACTTGATTATGTCTTTAGCCTCTTATAGGCAACTTCGACTGATGTAATCCATAAACCCTACTTATTTTAACAGTGCATGTGAATTAACATTAGCATTTGGAATAGATACAGTAATAAGACATTATTTTTCAAGTGTTGTCATCAAAATACATAACATATACATACTATTAACATTAACTGTTGAATCTCATTGGCCCATTTTAGGACTTTTACTTGTCAACCAAATTTTAGGATCTGCAAATTATAAAGTTCTTTTGGAATTTTGCAATCTAGAATTTACTTAACACTAGTTCCTGTGTAAAGTAATAAATAGATCTTGCTGGTGTAGCCTAAGCTCATGTCTGAGGACTCAGTGGTTTCCTCAGTTTTAGGGATCATCCATGTATTTCCAGCCATGTATTACTCTGTAAGAATGACTCAGACAGTCATAGATACTGTTTCTGGCGAGTTCGGGGACCACTGCACAGGAGCCATACGTTGCGATTTGGAGAACTGAAGGCGTATGTATGTTTGAAAAATGTGCATGTTTGGCCTGAATCTTTAGCACCAAAAGGAGTAGGTCCGATCTACTTGATTGTCAGTCGCAATTACTTTCCAGAACAACCCTTCTCTGGTGTTCCCTCTTCTACTTGCCTATCCTGAGTTCTGTTGCGTTCAGAGTTGCCATGTGGCCCTGTCTGTATTTTTTCAACAGATGATGTTGAAAAACACGAACAGAGCTTCAATGAGGCCTTTGTGAGATGATCTTTCTTCACTAACAACAGAGCCGAAGGTCACAAGATTGCCCTTACCCTCAAGCTCCATGTTCTAGTTCTGTCCCTTATGTGTTACCTCTCAGATGGTACTGGAACGAAGCTTTCAGTATCCGAGCTTATTAATCAGTTCGCAGAAAATAAACCACCAAATAGTCAGGAATAGCCTTGTAATGAAGATTACGAAGTAGACTTAGGTTTAGTGCTTACACCTGATGAGTAAGTAAGCAGATTTTAAAAACGAGATTTTATTTTTTTTTCCCTGTGATGTAGGTGGGACAATTCTATAGGTACATGGATGTCTGAATGTGAAAAGTAGTTATTTTAGTAAACGAACATTTCAGGAACACCTTGCCAGCTGTTTGGAGATATTTAGATGGGTAAATGCAGTTATGGGTCCTTTAAGGAAACATATTAATTCCCTTTGATGGAACTGGATATGCAGTTGCTTTTTCAGGCAACCATCCATTTCAGCAAGAAATTGTGAGAAGTTCCAGAGTACAAATGAAGTAGTTCTTGTGTGCTCAACACATTTAAGTTGGGTCAGGCTTCAAGCACTTCTTTTCTTTTTGAGAGAGAGTACTAACTTCAGCAGTATTTCCAATTGCAGGAGTAGTGAACTGGAACCTTCTCAGCCAGGTAAACTGCACGAATCTGTTTCAAATACACATAGGCAGTTAGGAAACAAGGAACTCGGCAGGCAGGAATTTTGTAGTTGGAAAACACCTGGCCTCTGGTGAGTGTGGCTGATGGCTATTTCCTCTACGCAGCTTCTGGGCTATCCAAGCATCCAGAAGGTCCCTTCAGATGCTGCAGACCACTTCTCTCAAGACCAAAGTGACAGTAAGACTGGGAGTCCTTCTACAGCTCTTCTTGCATGTGGACAAAGATGCTGGCTGGTGAGAGCTGCATTATAGTCCTTCCTTTGCCAGATACGCCCCCTGATTTACAGAAATTACTCTGGCCTAGTTTACAGTAAGAGAAAGGTGTTCTTCCCATGTGCTGAAAGTTTAGGGTAAACAAAGGCCATTGTCACTCTAATATTCTTGCAAGCCAGCATAATGCCTTCATTTCCTGATAGACAAGGGTTGAGCTACAATTTTGAGGTAGGGTTTCTAAGATATGGTAAAAATACCCTTTCTATCCCTTAGTATTTCTGCAGAAATGAGGAAGATTTTCCTGATTTTCCTGGCTGAGATCTGAAGACTCGATTTTCAAATATTTCTCACTGACAATTCAGTGTGTGGTGAAGTCTTGCTCTGTTTTAATAGATTATAAATTCTGTTAGCCAAATACTTATGTGCTACTTGGTATTAATATTAAACTTTCCTGTAAAATACCTAATCCCTATTGATAGACATGTAGAGAGATAAGTAAAACAAAATTTAAAAGTTCTTTTCTAAATATTTTTTCATATAATGCTTATTTTAAAATAGTTTTATTTTAAAACAATACTTTTTCATACACCTTGTCTCACAGAGCTGCTATTTTAAAATGCAGCAATTTCCAGTTCTTTATGTTGATCAGCAAGAGGTCTAAAGTTAATGAGCTTTTGAAGATAATTTTATTATTTGGTAATATTTTTAGTAATGCAGAAACTACTGGGTTTTGTCATTATCAGCTGAAAGAATAACTGTGTTACTAATCTGTCTCAAGCCTATGGTCCTAATAAATGCAAGTCATGCAACAGTGGAATAAAAAGAACAGTCCTTGCAATGAATTAAAGGGAATTGTCCAAATGACCAAAGGTGTATATAGCATGAAAAATCTCATTCAGCAGAGATGGAGACTGATGCATCAATACATTTGCAAAGTAGATTTGATAATTTAGATTTAAAATTTTGATCCCCATAGTGGTCCATCAGTCAGCTTGTATAAATAAAGAATGTAGGAATGTCACTATGTGCAGCAAACACAGAGCCGAGAAGATAAGGTGATTGATATCTTACATGAGCAAAGGAGTTGCTACTCTCTATCTCGGACACAGCAGCTTTGTACATAGCCATTCTTTCTTTCAGAGATACAGTATCCTGGAAATCCAGCGGTGTGTTATCAGCCCCAGGAGTGCTCTCTTTAGGTAGTCCTCTTACAGGTTTGCGAGAACTCACTGTAAGTACAAACAGACATCATATTTTCCAAGACGGAAACAGGTACCTTTTTTCCAAATCTTGAAAGAAAAGCAGTAGTAGAAAGGAGCAGTATTATCAACTTTTTAGCAACTGTATCCTGTTTTGAGTTTAGAACTTAATGAGTACGGAAAAATTTAATTCAATGACGATTTTGAAACTGGGGGAAATTCCCTGACGAAAGAACAAAAGCTTTTTTTTTTAAATAAAAACCACATACAATTTTAACAGCAAGTACAGTATATTTTTCTTGATAGTGTTACATTTGCATTATTTGCTACTGTAAAAAGTCATTGTAAGTACTACAAATAACCAATTATAATTAGATACATTGTGTTCTCATGAACTTTATACATTATAGTATCCTTTTGCTTAACAGAGTCTGTTTTGAGTTGATTGTAGATTTCAGTTTTTTACCGATATTGTGTTAGAGTATGTTTTAGTCAATTTAGTACTACTAAAACCTTATTGAAAATTATCTAAATTGCTAACAACATTTTAAGCTGATTTCAAGGTGTGAAGGTTATAGACTTGTCTATAAGCATCTGCAATTCAGCCACAGTGAATGTGGAGACAACAGTTCAGAGCACTCGTGAAAGAGCAGCACGGAGTCACTAGCACTAGGCGTTTTTTTGTTGCTACTTTCTACATTCATATGACTATATTAGAAGAATTCCACATACCCAGAATTGTGCCTTAAATTTAGCGTGCGGATATTTTTCTTTCTCGTTTCAGACAAAGGGAAAAAAAAAGTATGTTGTGAGCATGTCTCTTGTCTGTAATCAGAGGCAGAAGAGGTTTCTTACAATCCCACAGGCAGGAAGTTCCTCTTGTCCTGACGAGGGTTTTCTACAGTGCATGGAAAATTGGGTTGAGTGGCACTGGATTTCTGTAACCAGGACACTTCCCTTCGTTTTTTGGGGGGGAGGGAATTTTAAGACTTCAAGAAGATATGTTTTTAGTAAAGCCAACAGAATCTAATTTTTTAATCCTTGTGCTTGTGCTGCAGGTATCAGAGCACCCTGATCTTTCCTAAATCCATCTATATTTCTCCTTGTCCTTGCACAATAGGACAGAATAAATTTGTTGCACTCTGCATTGCTTTTTTTTAAACAATTGTATTTTCTGAAATTACAAAAACAGGCTGTAGCTGAACCAAATTATCTCAAATAATCAAAAAATCACCAAAAGCTACCCTGCCACCGGCCCCCCCAACCCCAATAATCTTGGAATTTCTCAAAGTTGACGAGATTACTGACTTAAAAAGGGAGGACACAGAAAGAAACAGTGTAGATATGTCCTCCTATTCTATGTATTTAATTCAAGCCAGTGGGTGCCCAAACTAAAACCTTAAAATCCATTTCCAAACAAGAAAGGAAAGTCAGAGGAACCTTCAGATGTGTGCTTTCTGCTAGCCATTGACAGTTTACTTGTATTCTTATATATTCTGCCACTGCTGACACCCTGTCTTCCTCATTCTGAATGTGTTTGTTACTTTGTTGCAGCACAGGGCTGGGGTTTTTTTTGAAATGACATATATTTTTTTATTGTATACAATTGATTTATGATTTTTGCATCTTGCTGATGATTTGCAGAGTTACCGAATTAAGCAAATCAACTGACTTGCCATAATCTTGCTGAGAAATGAGCAACTTCTCTTTGTACAGTGTTGTCTATCTCATAATGTGCATATAAAACACCAGGGACATACTAGAGTGCACTTACCTTTTCTACCATTCAGTGCAGACCAACACCATTTACAGAACTGGTCTTTTCTTTTGAAAGAAAAAAGCCATCAAAATCCTCTCTCAGGATTTTGTTGTTGTTGTTGATTTTTAAGATAAATTTCCCAGTCTCCTGAAATATACCACCTAGTGGAGACGAGCTCGACTGAATCCCTTCCTGGAGCAGGTAGAGGGGTACAACTGATTTTGGTTTATTCCCACATGTATAGGGTGGAAATTGGTGACTGTTTTGAGGGCGTGAGGTCTGGATAGCATTTGCCAGAGTCAACTGCTTGTTCTGGAAGCCTAACTGTGATACATATTGTTATACATACATGCATTGCAAATACATGTGCTTGGTGAATTACATTTCTTCTTATGTAAGTTGGTTCACTTTTGATTATTGTATTGTTTTACTAAGGCAGTGGTTGAGAACACAAAAGATATAGATTAAAAACAACAAGAAGGGCTTCTTCAACTACATCAGCAGCAAAAGGAAGGCTAGGGACAATGTGGGGCCGCTGCTGAATGAGGCGGGTGTCCTGTTGACGGAGGATGCAGAGAAGGCAGAGCTACTGAATGCCTTCTTTGCTTCAGTCTTCAGTGCCAAGGCAGGCCCTCAGGAATCCCAGGCCTCGGAGGTAAGAGAAGAAGCCTACAGAGAGGATGACTTTCCCTTGGTCGAGGAGGACTGTGTGAGGGATTGCTTAAGCGATCTGGACTTCCACAAATCCATGGGCCCCGATGGAATGCACCCACGAGTGCTGAG